AGCCGAATAAAATAATTTATTTAATTTGTAGCATGTACATATAAGAACACCATGATGAATGTAGTTTTTTTGATGAATTGAGTTTCAGTGCAAGTACAAAAATATCTTTTCTTAAAAATATAAAAATAATTGATATATTAATTACAGTATGATTTAATTAATTATTTTTAATAATTAACAGTTTTATTCTTCTTTATTGCTGTGTTGTATCACAATTTTTTTTTAAATTTTCTTTGTCACATTTGTAACATCTTTGGCGGGAAACGTTTTTAAATATATTTATTATAAAATAAATATTCAAAAACCGATCATTGAATATATTTAAATTATTAATCATTATATCCTCCTTCTTTTTAAATAAACTATAGCTCAACTTGAATCAAGTCTAAAATTTTAAAGTTTAAATGGAAAACACATAATATGCTGCAACATAGAATTAAATATTCAAACTGTATATGAAATTTTAAAAGAAAAATGTACAAACATTAATTCTTCAGTAAATATATAGTTTTTTAAAAACATTTTCCATGGTAGAGTAAAAATAAAACAAAATGACAGGAATCCCCCCCCCCCCCCCCCCCCCGAAAAAAATTTAATTTTTATGATATGAAATAATACATAGGCCCTATTAGAATCATATATAGTTAAAAAGACAGGGTTGTGAATATCAAGCATGAAATTTTCTAAGTTGATTTTTTAAATCAGATAATGAATCAGTTTGTATCAAAAGATTCTGTTACTGTGATCATTATCACAGTCGAATATTACATACTCAGATAAATATTTTTAATCACAACTGATAAATATATTTTAGAATATTCAAAATTGTTTCTACAATGTAATATACAATTTCTTTGGTATGATTTAAAATACTTTATTTCTTAATTAATTTTCAATATTTTCTTTTATCAATATTCAATTTTTAATTTAAAAAAATTGCAGATTTATGTTTATTTTTTACTATATTTATATAAATTAATTTTTTTTTTCTAGAACTTCATTTTTTTTTAAATTTTAATTTTAATTTTATGTTTTGACTGAAGTTTTCATTTGAATTTATTTTTACACTATTTTTTTCAAAGGTAGTAATCCTCAGGTAAAGCACATATACCTGAAAACAGACTATAGCCTGTTGATCACTCAGGTGTAAAAAATCAAAATGTTGGCTATGTAGGAATAGGATTTTTCAAAATGTTGGCTAAGTGGGAATAAACCAATTATTATCATTAAAGAATTACAGGACAGTCGGGGGTAACGACATGGTGTTTTCACGGTAATTAACACTACATAAACTGATCAATTACACTACGGTCTCTATCTGGAGATTCATAATTACATGTACGTCCAAATTAGATCCGTTAAATCCCAAATGATCATCTTTGTGAAGAGATTTCTTTTTTTTTAAATAATTTTTTTTAAAAATGTGTTCAATTTAACAAATATTTTATTTTTTCCCATTAACCAGTTACAGATTTTCTAATCGACTGCCATCGTTCCGACCGAGTAATCGGTTCACCGGTTACAAATTGCCATCCCTAATATATATATATATATATATATATATATATATATATATATATATATATATATATATATATATATAATTTAGTATGTTAATATTTTGCTGAAATTGATTTTAAAACAATTTAGCATCTGATTTAGTGCACATCTGAAAGTGCTAGATATAAATATTTGTACTCAAGGCATTTGGCGATGTACCTGATTTAGCAGAAGCTGCTTTCTGCAAATGGCGCTAAAAAGAATACATAGGTAAATGTTCTTACATGTAGAAACCCTATCCTAGAGCAAAATAAAATTACAAATAAAATTTGTGTCCATGGTTCAGTCTGTAATTGCTGAATTTGGTATTTTTGGTAATTTATCAGATAAAAATTTGGCACAAATGAAAATAAACATCCCTAAAACAAGTCTATATTCTGTATCACAGATATTCACAGAAAAAATTAAACTATACAATAAAAATAAGCTTTAAAATTCCTCTTGGAATGATCGTGTTCACATCACAGATACAAGAATGAAGTAATTAAAAATATTCAGAGATATGTGATTGGAAACATTTTAGAGGTTAACATATGCAACTTGTTTTGCTTTATAATTTTTTAATCATAAAACTGATTTAATTAACAATACCGGTACTTAAGACTAAGGGCAAAGCACATGACTAAATGAAATATACACACAAAGAAATAGTCCAATGGTACAAGAAAGTAGAACTATATGTACAAAAACTAGTAGAGGAATTATTAAAAAAAATTACATACTACTGATTGATTTTAAAGTATTTGGAGGACAATTTCAAAAATTATTGGAATTTGGCATGTGGAAAAATCAGGTTACCGGGTAATTTAATGATGATGTAAAAGAGGTTGCCTATGCACAACTTGTACTCTCTGCCACTTCTGCACACTTTAATGGAGGTGCCATTATCATTCCTTGTGTTTAGAATCAGACGTTGCTGTTTTCTCCTCTTGTGGTGAACCTCGATTAAATATGATTTTTTCCAGACCAAGCATTGGAGCCTCAAATGCCAAGGACAGGATAAAGGCTGCCATGTAGGTTAATACCAACATCCCCACAAATTGAACAGCCTAGGGAAATTAAGTAGATTTCTAGAACTAGTAAATGGATAAACAACTGTCATTAAAGCTAAAGTTTACATTTTTGGGACAAATGCAGAAAGTAGTACTGAATTAAATGATCCTAATACATGTAGAAGTGAAATTGCCACTTTATATATATAAAATTTGCTTCTATTAAGATTCAAAATGTTGCATATGACCTTTGCTTCTATTAAGATTCAAAATGTTGCAGAAGATTACATTCAAGACTTGCAAGGGGGGGGGGGGGGTTGTTATGTTGATTAAAAAAAATTGTAGGCAAACCCATGTAATTTGTAATTTGAGATATACATGTACATGTATGTGAAATAGTACTGTCCTTTTCTTCTCATATTTACATTTATATATTGTTTACAATGTACATGTATTTAACTATATAGTATATAATACAAGAGGTCCATAGGCCACTTTAATCACCTGAGCAGTGATCACAGAGGCTAGGAAAAAAGCATAAAAGCAGTTCAGTATTAAAAACTTTAGGGGATTTGGGGGAGAAACATGAATTTTCACTACCTCAGGATGCTTCCATATCAATATAACTAATCATGACTTTGCTGTTCTTGAGAGAAGAATTTCAAAGATTTTTTCTTATGTATTCCTAGGTAAAATTCTGATCACTCATTGTGGCCCCACCCTAACCACCCGAAATTTAAATAAACTTGAATCTACATGACCTGAAGTGCTCCTGTTATGAATAATCCTGGCTTTGCTGAAGCAAAGAAGATTTGAGGAAGATTTTTTGCAAGATGATTCCTATATATTCTTATGTAAATCTTTGACCCTCTGTTGAGCCCCCAAAACCCCTGGGGGTCATAATTTGAACAAATTTGATTCTACATAACCTATGGTTGCTTCGATCTGCATAAATATGACTAATAATGGCTTACAGGTAGTTGTTCTTGAGAAGAAGACTTTTAAAGATATTTCCTATATATTCATATGTAAAGATAAGAAACATTCAATGTTGTGGCCCCACCATGATTTAAACAAATTTTAATCTGCATTACCTGAGGATACTAATAATGGCTTAGCTGTTCTTGAGAAGAAAATTTTTAAAGAAATTTTTTTCCTATATATTGCGATGTAAATCTTTGGCCCCCTGTTGTGTCCCACCCAACCCCCAGAGGTCATGATTTTAACAAACTTGAATCTATATTACCTGAGGATACTTCTATATTTTATAATACATTTATGACTAACAATGGCTCAGCTGTTCTTGAGAAGAAGATTTTTAAAGATATTATCTATATATTCCTATGGTAAACTTTGACCCCCTGTTGTGGCCCTGCCCTACCTTCAGGGGTCATGACTGGAACAAACTTGAATCTACAGCAACAACAACAGATAAATTTTGATCGGAAAAGCTATTATAACTTGAGCCTTTGGCTCAGGTGAGGTAAAAAAATTTTTTTAAAATGTAAACTAAAATATCGCACAAATTAATCTTGACTTTCCATTTCACACACACACACACAAAACCAATTGATTTGTTCCGACTGGTTTTTCACAGTTTATCTAATTAATGTTTATAAAGATAAAATAAATAAGTTAATCCATATTAAGTTTCATTTTTTATTTAAAGTTTCTCAGTAAATTAATGTCCTAAATAGTGATGATTTTTTTTACATAGATTTATAAGGATGATGGCAAAAAGAAAGACACCTAAACATCACATAATGTCTACAATGTCATTATTTTAGAAATTTGATATTAATTTGCATCATTTACAACCAGAATTGTAATGAATTAATCCAAAAATATATATCGATCCCTGCAATGAATTGTTTTGTTCGCATCATTTGTCTTTAATATCTACAGTTTATTTTACATATCTTGAATATGAATGTCTCGAAAACCATGAAAACTGTTGAAAGGAGGTCCCAACCACTTTTTCTTTATTTGCTTTGCCTCTCAAACCCTTGGATACCTCTTTATGTTTTTCTTGGTCCCATTGAGTTCAAGATAACTAGGTTAGACTATAATAACATGTACAGTGCGCAGTTTTACTTTTCCACAAGTGGACACAGCTTTTTTGCAAAATATTAATCCTGCTTTTCCACGACAAAATTTTACTGCTTTTGTGCAATTAATTTTTTTGTTTTTCCGTGATTTATTTTAGCATCTACCTCTTCCATTAGCCAGGTAAAAACTGTTTCTCCCTGCTTACAACTGGCTTCAGCCATTTTTTTGTCTTTCCGGAGATTGTTGTATTCTTTTTGTTTCTACCTCGACAATCTCTTTTACATTAGTTGTAATTGTGGCTTTGCATATTTTAACTTCATCAGTAAGACACATCATTCTTTAAAACACTGACCTTTCTATACATAAATCCATCATTTGTAATACATTCCTGACCATAGCATTTAAAATGTGATTCATTTAATTTTTATCACAGTGTGGTACTACAGGGTAGAACTCTATAGGGAGATACATGATAATCCAGGTAAATATTGGCAAAATAATATTTGATATTTGATGTTAAGTGCATAATACAATGACCATTTAAAAATCACAGAAAGGAAGTATTCAAAAGGGGAGATAATGCATAACTTATATAGTAAAGTTCAATTGCAGAAAAGCAGTATGGGGTAGTCACCGAAAAGCATACAGGTTGTGAAAATAAAATTGCGGAAAAGCAGATATGCTGTACAGTGTACCAGGATACCCATCATAAAACGTAAAATGGATCCATATGTCAGTTGGCTGTGTGATTTTGTTTGTTTTTTGCATACTGTGAGAAATGATAGACTTTAAATTATGATTTAACACATACCAGGGTAGCATCATCCAAGTAAAATGTAGACCTGAGACTGCTGTAATATCCCACCAAAAGGATTGGATGTACCAGATATGCAAAATATGTCAGACGAGCCAAAGGTGTGAACAAACTCCAGGACAAAAATGTGTTGATAAATCCTGAAAAAAGTTTTTGATTCATTGTATTGACATTTCAAAATATAAAGTGTATACTTGCACCTCCGAGGCACCTGATCCCACCAATGATGTTTTAAGCAGTCCGTGTTAGCTCTGAGAACAATTTATATTATTATACATGTACCTCATATAAATAATCACTAGTAAATTAGAATATGATTGGGGATTGCCTGAGACAGTCATGTGACTGTCATGTTTGCAATGCAACAAAAATTTGTGTTTCACACAATTGTGACGTCACACTGCGGCAACCGAGATGGCTACTAATGGGTTAGATTGTTCATATCGTTGATTGTGTAAAATAAAAATATTTAGAATTGTGTTTTCATGGTTGGGGTTTGAATGTTACTAGTGTGTAAATCACACTGACTTGTCAAGAAGGATTTTTTTATGAAGAGCAGCTGGTTGTGTAACTTACATTTGTTTCATATTGTTCTTACCAAATTTTTACTTTATTCATTGGAGCTTCTTTATATTTCCTGTATTGTGCTTAATTCTGTATATAACAATTTATTGCATGAATGTTTGGGAGACATGAATGATTTCTTCGCCCATGAAAAATCATTATCCCTTCGGGCGTTGCCCTCTGGGTATATGATTTTTCATGGGCAAAGAAATCTTCTTACCCCACCTCTGTTGATTTTTCGATGAAATCCTGGCTTACGATTGGTTGAAGTCTGTCATGTGAAGGGGGTGTATTACTTATACCTAGTCGCTTGAAAATCAATACATGGTCGATATGGAGTTATCGTTCTTTTGTAACGTTCGAACAAGTGGAGTTCACACGATTTGCAGACTGTCTGTTGACAATTTAACAGTTAACTAATGTAAGTAACGAAGATGGAACCTTTTCCTCCCTCTACTGAAAGTCTTCAAAACTGTCAGTACGTTATTACAGCACGAAACACTCGCAAAACAATATTACGTCACATAACGTGACGTCATAATAGGCATTGTATGAGTGATGAAACATATAATTATATAGGCCTAGTGAGAAAAACAATTTTACAAGCCACAGACAATGCATAAATATTTTATCGGTGGGGTAAATTCGTTACATAGTTTTGTAGTGACAGGGTACGGGATGATACCTGGTTAGTAAATTCCATACCTGGCTCAGCTTCGCCTCGCCAGGTATGAAATTTACTAACCAGGTATCATCCCGTACCCTGTTCACTACAAAACTATGTAACTAATAATGTCTCCCTCACTATCATGCAATAAATGTGTATTGTTTCATGGGACTTCTCAGCATGATTACTGCATGTTATCTTCAAATTTCATGTAAGCCTTTGCATCAGATCAATAAATTTATCAATAAATCTATAAGCAACAACACCACAACACAAAACCTTACCTCCATTTCCAGTAGCACAAGCAAATATCACCCAGCCTACACAGGCCCCCCATACAGTACGATGTGTGGTGTTATACAGATCTTTTACACTTTGTGACATGTGTACATAACCATTGAGCTCATCATATAACCCATACACTACGAGACAGGCTAGTGTAGCAGCTACCATCCAAATAAATAAATTTAGCACCTACAATATGTAAATATTTTAATGATGATGAACAAAAAAAATCAGCAATAGATCACCTTTGACTTTAAAAAAAAAAAGAGCATTCTAGGGATTACTGGATTACTGAATGTTTTTTTTTCAGTTTCTTAACATTAAACATTTTTCAAGAAGATACTGAATATTTGGGGAAAAAAGCTAAAATTAATTAATATTATATCACATTGGAAAGATTTCAGATTTGTTGTGTTTGGGATCAGTGAGGCAGTGGGCGTTAAATATTCCTGTATATGAACAACACTCGTGTGACTTTCAACAGTTCTATACACAGTATCAAATATCATCTATACAAAGTTGAGTTATGTGAAATACCTTGTTTATCTTCAGTTTGCAGTCTGTTTTGTACAAGAAATAGCCAAACCATATTCCTATGATGTACGGACCTATCCTGCAGTATGGTTTGACGTAGTATATATTGAAGTAGTCACTCTGCCTGAAACATGAAAATAAACTGGTTTAGACATTTCAATGAGGAAAACAAGAGGCCCATGGGCCACAACGCTCACCTGAGTTACTTTGGCCCTGCTGTTCTTCACAAGACCTCCCCTTTGTAATATTTATTGTGGCCCCGCCCTACCCCCGGGGGCCATGATTTGAACAATTTAAAATCTACACAACCCAAGGATGCTTTCACATAAGTTTCAGCTTTTCTGGCCCAGTGGTTCTTGAGGAGAAGATTTTCAAAGATTTTTGCCTATATATTTCATTGTAAAGCTTGGATTCCCTATTGTGGCCCCGCCCTACCCCCAGGGGCCATGATTTGAACAATTTAGAATCTACACTACCCAATGATGCTTCAACATAAGTTTCAGCTTTTCTGGCCCTGTGGTTCTTGAGAAGAAGATTTTTTAATGACCCCACCCTATTTTTGTCTTTTCTTGATTATCTCCCCTTGTAAGGGGGGTTGGCCCTAAACTCCCCTTCACCCAAGGATGCTCTGTACCAACTTTGGTTAAAATTGCCTCAGTGTTTCTTGAGAAGAAGTTGAAAATGTGAAAAGTTTACAGACAGATGGACAGACAAACGGACGGACGGACGACGGACAACAGGTGATCAGAAAAGCTCACTTGAGCTTTCAGCTCAGGTGAGCTAAAAAAGCTGTACAATGTACTTTCTTTACCATAAATACAGGATGTTGATTTGAATTTACTTTGATTGATTTGAATTTGGCTTTACATACATGTAAGCATATGCACACAAGGGTATATTCTATTAATTAATTACTAAAAAGTAATATGTTTATTGCTTTCCTGCACTGGAATGAGTTTATATACATTGAAAATTCATAAATATATATATATATATATATATATATATATATATATATATATATATATATATATATATATATATATATATATATATATATATATATATATATATATATATATATAAATTATTATATAATGAAAAAGATATGGCTGGACCGGAAATTGAACTGGGGACCCCTGCATTACTAGTCATGTGCTCTAACCACTGAGCTCTCCAGGCCCATGTCCTCAGTCCAGCCAAAATTCCAACACATTTAGTAAAAGTCAATGCTATTCTTATTCTTTTTGAATCAGCATTTGGGTAGCAAATAAAATACATGTATTTATATCCTTCTAAGTAAATAATGGATATTTTCATTGCAGGTGGACTGAAAACAAGAGCAAACTTTTTAGGATCCTCATTTTTGGAAGCATTAAAGTGACCATATACATTTTGGGGGAGGGTTGCAATACCATGTTTCTGTAGGATGAAATTTTTGTAAATTTAGCATTCTAGTGATGAAACCAAAATGTACTGGACAAAAATAAATAACCATAGAAAATACCCATTATATAGTTTAACCTTTACAGACAAATAACTGAAGAATTCAGATAATACATACATTGACTGTGGGTGAGTTAACTGCTCAAGCATGGAAGCTGGTAATTTGTAGTAATTAGAAATAATTCCTGTGGCAACCCAGCTAGCAAACAGGAGTGAGGTTCCTATCATCCCGCCAATCCATTTAGAGCTGTATATACACAATACAAATCAGCATCACTGTACTGAACATCTAAATGTCTGATATTTTCTTCTTTTTTCTGTTGTTTGATTCTTGTGTACAATTGATTACTGTGGTTTATGAAATGATAAGTCATTCATATATACTGGCACACATACATGTTAATAACCAGAAGTCCCTGACAAAACTGTAGCTCTACTGGTTTGTACTTATAAAAATGGAAGATAAAAGTGGCACTTGGACTTGAAACTTTGCAACAGCAATACATAGAATAATGATTCTTGGTGTAGTCTCTTTTTGTTTTATTGAGATTTTTGTATTTTTATTAAGATTTATTGCAATCAGACTAAAACTATTGGGGGAATAATCTTTTAAAAGAAATTTACAGAAATTTCGATTTTAGTAATCATGGCAACATCATTCAACAAAATCAAAAAACAACAAAGACAATAATGTATCTTATTGTAGTCTACTTGTGTGCCAAGTTATATTGAAATCAGATCAAAACTGTAGGAGGAATAGCATTTTGAATTCAAAGTATTTCAAGGAAATTTCTATTTTTAGTAACCATGGCAACACCGTTCATAGAAATGAAAAACCGATAAAGAGAATTATGTATCTTAGTATAGTCTACTTGTGTGCTAAGTTATATTGAAATCAGACTAAAACTGTAGGAGGCGTAGCGTTTTGAAAGTACTTCCCAGAAATCTCTATTTTTAGTAACCATGGCAACACCGTTCATCAAAATCAAAAACCGATACTCAGAATTATGTATCTTAGTGTAGTCTACTTGTGTGCCAAGTTATATTGAAATCAGACTAAAATTGTAGGAGGAGTAGCGTTTTGAAAAATTGTTTACAGATGGACAGACAGACAGCTAGACGGACGGACGACGGACACCTTACTATTGCATAAGCTCTTCTGGTCTCTGACCAGTAGAGCTAAATAAATGACTGTAACAATCATTTAATAATATAAACTGATGCATGCAAATAATAAAAAGATTACATTGTAAATAAATATTCATTGGTTCTAAAGCTAATTATACATGTAGTCAACTCATGAAATCTTGGACTTGGTAAAACCACAGGCCTTTAGATCGCTTTAATCTGACTTTAAACAAAAAGTTTTGGGCCCGGTGTGAAAAAAAGATTACCCAGTATCTATTTTTTAAACCCCAAATTTTTTGCAAGTTGGATTGAAGCAATCATAAGGCCTGTGGGTAAGACTAACAAAGCTAGAGGGTCTTTGGGCAAAGAAATGATACCCCCACCCACAACTGAACATGTTCAGGCCATAAGCAATGTTTGTGTCAATTAAGATCTTTGGAGGGTCAATATAAGAAAATAATGACATGGTTGAACTGCTCTAAATAATATATCTTACTGAAAGTTGAGGTCAAAAAATTGTGACATGGATGAATAGTTCTCATCAATTTGTATATGTGTATGAAGTTTGATGAACAGTTTCTTTGAAACTAAGTTAATTGTAAAATAATTAATAGTAAGGTCAAGGTGATATGGCAGGTCAAGGTAAAAAAATAGGACACAGTTGAATAGTCTCACCAATTTGTATGATTGTATGAAGTTTGATTTAAAACATATGAACCATTTCTTTGAAACCGAGTTAAAAGCAAAATGATGAATAATGAGGTCAAGATCATAGAAAATGTCAAGGTCAGAAAATTATAAAAGATCTGAATAATTTCTACCAATATGTATCAGAGTATAAGTTTTGATAAAGATATCATGAAAGGTTACTTTGAAACTGAGCTTAACACAAAATGGGGAAAATAGATTTCATGGTCACAGAGAAGTCAAGGCAATGTATCTGGAAATTATATAGCATACAGTTGGAAGAGAGGCTGCCACAAAAACTAGACTAAACGTCACTTATTCTCATAAGACAGATCAAGCAGACACTTATGTCCATCATCAAAAACATTGACTATTGTAACAATGTAGAAAAAGTTCCCCTGGATATGTCATCCATTCTATTTATTTATTATTTAATACTGTAAACCAGCTATCATTAGTGTCAACTTTTATTCGCAAATTGTCAGTTTGAAATCAATCCATGACAATTGATTTTTGCGAAACATGAGGAAACATTCTCTACATATACAAAGCAAAGTAATTGGTTTGCAGCGATTAATATTTGCGAATTAAAGTAGGTCGCGAAACTCGCGGATATTTCTCGCACGTGAATAAAAGTTGGTTTACAGTATTATTTATTTTTTGGCCAATGTAAAATGTAAATTAGCCTTTGCAAAATACTTAATCTGGAGGGATAGATCACATGAACTAATCTTATGCACTTTTGTGTGACCTGTGCCAGTGTCTACTCTGGGCTATAGCCAAACACTTATTCCAACTTTCCAATGATATTCAGCTGTAAAAAGTATAATCTATAATTTCCCCACAGATAATTTTCCAACAGTTCTTGTAAAAAGTTGTGTATTTAATCTTTTCTATACTCACTAGTACAAAGGTATGATGATAAATGGACTAAGTATAAAAAACTGCATATCATTGGCTAAATACCAGGTCCATGCCATACATTCCTGTCATTACAAAGGATGCAATGTAAAACTGAATAAAAACAGTCATATTATACATGTACTTCATATAGGTATTTTTAAAATGATTTCAAGGATATTCTTGAACATATTCGATTAAACAAAAGAAAAGAAGCTGTGCGTTATATGTATTAACCAAGAAGTCTCTGATGAGACTAGTTCAACTGGTTTATACTTATAACAAAAGTTATTGTAGAGAAAAGAAACACTTGAACGTGAAACTATGACAACAGCAATCAATAGAATAATGATCAATGGTTAATTCTCTTTTCGTGACAAGTTTTAATTTATTGGACTACAGTAACTGTAGAAGGAGTTGCCTTTTGAAAGAATCTCACAAAATTTCTAATTTTAGTTACCATGGCAACATCCTTTTTTAAAATGCATGCAATTACACAAAATTATGCATCTTAGTGTAGTCTACTTGTGTACAAATTTTTATTGAAATTGGACAAAACTGTACGAGGAGTGGCATTTTGAAAGAAATTTACAGAAATTTCTATTTTCAATATTAAAGACAACACTGTCAAAATCAAAAACTGATATACAGAATTATGTATCTTAATGTAGTCTACTTGTGTAAAAAATCTTATTGAAATCAAATCAAAACTGTAGGAGGAGTAGTGTTTTGAAGGAATTTTACAAATTTATATTTTTAGTAACCAAGGCAACATCATTGATCTAAATCAAACATAGGTAATCAAAGATTACGAAGCTCACCTCGACGAATATTATCTATAAGTAAGGCAAATTTCACATCATATTTTTTTTCTAGTTAGTGTACATGCAAAGATCAATATCCATGCAAGTTTGATTTAAGTAGGACTTATAGTTACTTGGAAATAGACCTGCTCAAAAACTTTTAACCTGTTTACTGATCAAGAAAATTTTGGTCAGTCCAAAATTAAAAGCAAGTCTGGAAGTTTTCATTTTTAGATGAACCATCTATACAAGTTTAATCATAACAGGCCATAGTATTATATAGCTACTCAAAAAAAAATTACCCTGGTCACTCATCTGGAAGATGTAGGTCAGATTCAGAATTCAAAGCAGGTCTGGAAGTATCCATCCCTAGATACATCATCCATGCTAATTTGGTTAAATTTGACTATAATTCACTCATGTGGAAAATCTAGGTCAAATCCAGCATCCTAAAGCAGGTGGGCTAGTGTACATTCCTAGATGCATCATTCATGAAAGTTTGGTCCAGGTAGGGCTTATAGTTACTTGGGAATGGACCTGCTCCAAAATCTTAACCTGGTCACTCATCTGGAAAATCTAGGTCAGATCTAGCAACCCAAGCAAGTGTGGTAGTGTCCATTCCTAGATGCATCATCCATGCAAGTTTGGTCCAGGTAGGGATTATAGTTACTTGGGAACAGACCAGCTCCAAAAACTTTAACCTGGTCACTCATCTGAAAAATCTAGGTCAAATCCAGCATCCGAAGCAAGTGTGGTAGTGTCAATCCCTAGATGCATCATCCATGCAAGTTTGGTCCAGGTAGGGATTATAGTTACTTGGGAATGGACCTGCTCCAAAATCTTAACCTGGTCACCCATCTAAAAAAACTAGGTCAGATCCAGCATCCGAAGCAAGTGTGGTAGTGTACTTCCCTAGATGCATCATCCATGAAAGCTTGGTCCAGGTAGGGATTATAGTTACTTGGGAACAGACCTGCTCCAAAAACTTTAACCTGGTCACTCATCTGGAAAATCTAGGTCAAATCCAGCATCCGAAGCAAGTGTGGTAGTGTCCATCCCTAGATGCATCATCCATGCAAGTTGGTCCAGCTAGGGCTTACAGTTACTTGGGAATGGACTTGCTCCTAAAACTTTAACTGGGACACCGACGCTGGGGGTATAGCATAAGCTCATCTCGACTTCGTCAAGGTGAGCTAAAAACCCATAAACCAAATTATGTATCTTAGTGTAGTCTACTTGTGTACCAATTTAAGTTATATTGAAATCATACTAAAATTGTTGAAGGAAAGTAGTTTGAAAAATTATTTACAGACAGACAGATGAACAGATGGACAGATGACAAATGTCATTACTATCACGTAAGCTCTTCTGGTCTCTGACCAGTAGAGCTAAACATAGGTAATCAGAGATTACAGAGCTCACCTCAAAAAATGTTGTCTTATAGTGAGGCAAAGTCCACATTAAACTAATAATCTAGTAGTATACATCCCAAGATGCAAAATTCATGCAATTTTGATCTGATGGGGCTTGCAGTTACTTGGGAATAGATTTCAAAAACTTCAACCTGGTCAATCATTCAGAAAATATAATTCAAATCCAGCATCTGAAGCAAGTTTGAGAGTGTTCATTTCTTGATGCATCATTCATGTAAATTTGGTTCAGATAGGCCTTATAGTTTCTAAGTAATAGACCTGCATCCAAAACTTTAACCTGGTCCATTATCTGGAAAATATATGTCAGATCCAACATCTGAAGCAAGTCCATTAGTGTGGATCCTTAGATGTATCCTCTATGCAAGTTTAATCAACATAGGCCCTATAGTTCCTTTAGAATAAAGGTGCTCAAAGAACTTAAGCATACATCAAAGGTTTTTTTTTCTTCAAGATTTTCAACATTTTGAGATTTTTGGCTAAGAAAAAGAAGTTAATCACTGCTTTATAATGCATGTAAAATTCTTGGTAATTATGAAATGGTTTTCTAATTATTTAACAATAATGAAACATAAACACTACCACATGTGAATGTTCCATTATTGAAGCTTCTGATTTGATCTGTGACTGCCTGCTCATGAAAGATGCAATAAATCACTGTGACCACTTTGGGAATTCTTCACTAGCCACACAGAGGTTATCAGTAATTAAACTACAGGGACTCTAGATTTATAGAAGGAAATCTAACAGATCACTGATGACCATAAAATAGGAGGTGGAGCTTAGCTCTTGTCATTTTACCGGGAAAGCTTTCTGATTCATAATTGAACCTATTTTACTCAATTAAAAGCATCTAAATACAGAAGAGAACCTCCCATTCTTGTGAATATGCATTGGAAATATGCCTAAGTGATAGGTATCCAAAGCTGAATCTCCAATGTGTCATATATTCCTAGCTTTGCAGATTTTGTTGTGTAATGGGTTTTTGCCCTCTACTGTTAAGTAAGATCAGACAGTTTGTGTTATTATTTCAAAGGATTCAGCTCCCTTATTTATTGACCAATTTCTCTGAAAATTAAATATTGACCAATTTCTCTGAAAATTAAATGTTTTGCTTCTCAAATGTGTGTTCACAAAACTGTATCTCAGATTTTTGATATCTAGCTTAGTTTTGGAATTATTGAGAGAATTGTCAAATTAGGCTAATAAATTGGTAACATTGAAGGGCAAATGGCTGTAACTTTTGAATTAGAAGATTTATCAAAAATCTGAGATACAGTTTTTAAGTTCAATCTTTAATCTACCTTGAGGCAAAATGACCACTTTGAGGGGTTAAAAACAAAAAAGTTGATTTATAAAATATTTATGCACTAAAATTTACATTAATATTTAAATAATTTTTAAAAAGTTATCAATTAAAGTTTAAATTAGGATAATTAAATAGTAAATTTATCAAGCTTTCAAATGATATATACTTTTATTATATTATCTTTGATAATAAAAGAATTACATGGAAATTAAATTCTGGTATTTGGAAACCTTGGTGTATCCTTGACCTGGTCACTCATCTGGAAAATGAAGGTCAGATCTAGCATCCCAAGCAAGCCTGGTAGTATCCATTAATTCTTAGATGTATTCTCCATGCAAGTTTTGTCAGCATGGGGCTTATTCTGGTAGTTACTTTAGAATGAACCTGCTGCAAAAACTTTCACCTGGTAACTCATCCGAAAAAGTAGGTCAGATCCAGCATCTGAAGCAAGCCTGTTCGTGTGCATCCTTAGATGTATCATCCATGCAAGTTTGGTCAACATAGGGCTTATAGTTACTGTAGAATGAACCTGCTCCAAAAACTTTAACTGGTCACTCATCTGGAAAATGTAGGTCAGATCCAGCATCCGAAGCAAGCTTAGTAGTGTGCATTCTGAGATGCATCATCCATACAAGTTTGGTCAACATAGGGCTTATAGTTACTTGGAAATAAGACCTGCACCAAAAACTTTAACCTTGTCATTCCTTTGCTGAAATTGCAGCATCTGAAACCTTGAGTGGTACAATGAAACACATTAGAAGCATCTTTCATGCATATCAGTTTAATGTAGGGCATAGAAGTACTTAAAAAGAAAACTGCACCCAAAACTTTAACCTGGGACACAGACGGTATCACATAAGCTCCCCCCGACTTCGCTGAGGTGAGCTAAAAACTGTATGCAACTTTGATTACTGTTATACATACCAATGTCCAGTGAAAAATAGCATATAAAAGACTGAATTGATTATGTAGCTGTAATATGGTATTTTTTCAATTTCATTACTTTTTTAAAATAGGAAAAAGAAAACCAATAACAAATTTCATCTGAGGTTATTTTGCCCATTAAAGAGACAAATTATCTGTTCAACCAAATTTAAAATTACCTCATCATAAAAATTATTGATGTAGAGCATGGTATGCCACCATGTCTTATTGCATTGCCCTGGCTCCACTCCATTCTGGGGCCAAAATGGACCATCTGATACATACCGGAAAAGGGGCACATACACAAACATAAGAAGCATCAAGGGAGGTGTTAACCTGAAATAATTAATTTTATTATAACTAAACAAATAGTTTAAGACTTTTATCACAATTTATTCATGCTAGCTTGATTATATTACCTTTGATATGTCATAAATTTGCCTCCCTTAATATGTTACCATTTTACAATGACCTTGGATCAAGGTCCAACATAGAGACTAACCTCCAGTATCGATGAAAGTAAAATTTGGCAATGAAAGCAATCCAGTTGATTTTCTTTCCTTCATTTCTTCTAAGTTCTTTCAGAAGTAAATATGAAACTAAGAGTCCACTGCCAAAAAAATGTAAGGCATTAATTATAACAATCCAACTGTCTCTTTAAGGCCTTATTTTCAAAATACATGTACTGTAAACCAACTTTTAATTGTATGCAAAAAATATTTGCAGGTTCGGCAACTTTCTTTTACTCGCAATTACAGTCAAACCTCGTTATCTCGAACCTGGTGGGACCGAGAAAATAATTTGAGATATCCGAGGGTTCGAGATATCCAGGGTAAAATACTTAAGGAATAAGCGATTGGGACTTCCAAATCACTTCGACATATCCATGGTATTCGAGATATCAGTGTTCGAGATACCGAAGTACAACTGTATTTTTCATTTTGTATTTACTGGGTAATATGAAAAACTTTTTCTCAGTCACCAAAATTTATGGTCATGGATGAACTTCAAACTGACCAATCTTGAAATAAAGTTGTAAGAATGATAGATGGTTTATAAAATACTGGTACTGTATTATCTTTACATTTTGTAAACCATAACAATTATCACTATTTTAAAATCTGTGATGAAAATAAAACAGGAATTGAAAATAAAGTGTATGTATGCAGTAATCATGATTATAGTAATATATATACTTGGAAAGGCTTTATAGATTTCAAAATACTATACATATACAAATAAATAAGATTATAAACATTTTCCTTTATGCATTTAATGCTGAATAAAAAAATTAAGCAATATACGTGATATACTTTTAATATGAATAATTTCATACAAAATGACTTTCTTCAACTTTAAATACATTTACTTCATTAAAAACTTGTAACTAAAACATTTTCAAATTGAAAAACACCTTGATAATAAAGTGACATTTTGATTTTTATTTTGTATAGCTAGACTTAATGTCTTCCATTACCAAAACACACCTGAGTAAAAAGAATGAATCCACTGACACCAAAGCATTGATGATGACATGATATGACCTTCTCTTCAAAAGGATTGGTACAATATATCCAAGATTTGCTAAAATAATTAAAAAACTAAAAAAATTCCCAGTGGCCTAATAAATCAACAAATGAAGAATCAATGTGAATAAAATCATAGTGAAATGAAATAGTTCAGTTTTCATATGTATTTCTTATGGTATATTGTGTGTTTACACGAGAGTTAACTCAAGATCAATACAGTGTCATTCTGAAACTTACAAACCATTCCAAGACCAAATGCCAGAGTATGACCCAGTATGACCCAGGACATGCTGAAAAACCGCACTCCATTAACGGCACCCAAGGTGCTTGCAGTCTTCTTTGTACTTAGAAGTTTCTTCCCATTGGAGTACACAGAAAATGCCAAGAAAAACTTCATTAAACATCCTGGAAAAAATGTTGATATTACATGTATTATAAATCTAAAACATATTTGTACATGCACACCTATAAAAACAACAGATTTTTTTTTCATCTCTCTGTAATTTTTCCAAGTATTACTGTATGCAAATACATGTATCTATTTTCACAAATAAACATCATCCCTACTTTAAAGGTGCTTAGACACAGATTTGAAGTTAATATTTTCTCAAATTTTCTGTATAATATCACGACTTATATATTGAAATAGCATTTCACACGAAAATATAATTAAAAACTTATTTTATCTGGAAATTATTTGAACTACGAATTCCGGGACGCGTTTGATTAACACATCCTTGCACTTTCACAAATTTTATCTTTATCCTAATATTTAAGAAAAGAAGCGATTTTGTTGTGTATTAATGAAAAACATTACATCTATAATCCAGAAAATTCAGAGTAGAAATATGCGAAAGCAAACCCCCTCACTAATATCGTCATCCCGTGCTCAGTGTTGTGTACAGAGTTTAACAAATTGAATACACCCGTGAAATGTAAACTGCTTTTGTAAACAGGGCACGAGCTCTGTTATTGTTAATGTTTATGATTCACCGGGTGTGTTCAATTGTTAAAGTCTGCACACACTACTGAGCACGGACTGACAATACTGTGAGTGGGTTTTGCTTTTGAACATTTCTACTCTGAATTTTTTTGGATTATAGTTTTAATATTTTTCATTAATACACAACAAAATTGCCACTTTTCTTAAGTATTAAGAATAAAATTAAAATTTGTGAAAGTGCAAGGATGTGTCAATCAAACGCGTCCAGAAATTTGAAGTTTTAGTAACTTCGAGATGAAATAAGAATTTTATTATATTATAGTATGAAATGCTATAGCAACATATAAGTCATGAAATTATTCAGAAAATTTGAGAAAATGTTAACAACAAATCTGTGTCCAAGCACCTTTAATAGAAATGTTTTTTTTTTTTTTAAGAAATTTAAAAGTCCTTCCATAAAGTACATGTACCTGACATTGGATTGACTTTAGCAAGCTCAGTTGTTGGTGAACCTAAGAGTGGAGTCTCTTCTGTGCCAATCCTGTGAGCATAGTGAAGCACTTCTCCATTGGCACTGGTTGATTTGGTCTCAAAAATTTTATTGTTGGCCATCCATGAGGACAAAATGTCCAGTAAGGTTGAAATAATAATCAAGAGAAGAAAGAACCCAGCAAATACCCTATATGAAGGCGAAAAGAATGCTACTCATATTATTCTTAAAAATATATTTATAACACTTGAGCTATGAAAACTCAGAAAAGTTGATTCATTTGAAATTAATTTGGAATCAGGACATGAACATGTTCATTAGAATCCAATGGTCAATTGCTAAAAAGGAAAAGTCTCATTAAATTGTATTCATTATTTAATATAATTATGTACTTATTTACAAGATGCTAAAGAGTATATGTATCTAATGTATATATGTGATACAGTCATGTACATGTAAGCAATTGACCCTTGACTTCAAACCAACTTGGTCCATGCAGTGGTAAAAATACTTCTCAATACATACATTGCTGCCACAGCTTTGAAATCAAACTCTAAATGATTTTTCTGACAGGTCACATAAGGTTGGATAGAAATATTCAAGGAAAGTAAGTCCATGGCTGCAAAAGAATTGTCAAATATAATATGTATATAGTCTGAAACAAAGATAGCTGCTATGTAACAGTGGGATGACTCACTTTAACTTTCATCCTTCACATTCTCTTTATTATTCCATCACAACGGAGTTGGAGGGGATATAGTAATATGCATATGTGTATGAGTGGGTGGGTTAGTTTGTCCTTGTGTGCATAACGTTTGTATCGGGGTTGATGTCGAATGCTGCATTGATTTATAGATATGCTCTTTTGTGAAATTTTTTAGTGTGGACTGTTCTACTATATTTATAGATTTTATATTTCTATATTTTTAATATATATTTCACAGATTTCTATCCATATTTATCTGAATCTGAAAACATGTAAAATTATCTTAGATAACTAAAAGACATTTGATGTTTGTTACAAAAGATACATCCTGTAAATACACAGACATACACTGGATAGACAGACATACATTGGATAGACTGACAAACACAGGATAGATAGACAAACACAGTTAAACATAACCTACTTCTGATCAGATACATCCTGCAAACAGACATAGACAAGTCTGATAAAAACACAGTTAAACATAACCTCCTTCTATACAGGTACTACCTGTAAACAGACAGACACAGACAGATCTGACAGACACAGTTAAACATAACCTCCTTCTTTACAGATACTACCTGTAAACAGACAGAAACAGACAGATCTGACAGACACAGTTAAACATAACCTCCTTCTATACAGATACTACCTGTAAACAGACAGACACAGACAGATCTGACAGACACAGTTAAACATAACCTCCTTCTTTACAGATACTACCTGTAAACAGACAGACACAGACAGGTCTGACAGACACAGTTAAATATAACCTCCTTCTGTTCAGATATGTCCTGTAAACAGACAGACATAGACAGGTCTGACAGACAAAGTTAAATATAACCTCCTTCTGTTCAGATATGTCCTGTAAACAGACAGACATAGACAGAATCAGTTAAACGTAACCTCTTTCTGTTCAGATGCATTCTGTCTACAGACAAAGACAGGTCTGACAGATGAGTGAATCATAACCTCCTTCTAAGTTTAGACAGAAGCAACTAAGGTCTCTCACTCTCATGATTTTCAGGTAGTTTTTATACCAGTTTTAAACAAGAGGCCCATGGGCCTTGAATCGCTCTTCTGATAAACTGTACAACCTATCACTTCTATTTGAAGCCTCGAAGTATCCTGTATATTTACATAAACCCTTGAAATTCCAATTCACACTCTGAGAACCCAAGATGATTCTAAGCCAATTAGTACCTGAGAGTTGGTCATGGTGACCTACTTATCACTTGTCATTCTCTGAGGACCCATCAACTAAGTTTGATGGTTCTAAGCCAATTAATACCTAAAATATTTTTTAAAATTATAATCATAAAATTTTATAAGTAGGTCAAAGTGACCTACTTTTCAATTGTTTTACTCCAAGGACCCAAGATGCATCAACTGACAAAGTTTGATGATTCTAAGCCAATTAGTACCTGTAATATTTAATTAAAGCCATAAATTTTCAAAAGTAGGTCAGGTCACCGTGACCTACTTTTCAGTTGCTGTACTCCGAGGACCAAAGATACATCGACGACAAAGTTTGATGATTCTAGCCAATAAGTACCCAAAATATTTAATTATAGCCATAAATTTTCAAAAGTAGGTCACAGTGACCTACTTTTCAGTCAACCTACTCCGAGGACCAAAGATGCATCAACTGACAAATTTTGACGATTCTAAGCCAAATAATTCCTGAAAATATTAAATACAGCCATAAAATTTCAAAAGTAGGTCACCGTGACCTATTTTTCAGTTGTTGTACTCCGAGGACCCAAGACGCATCAACTGACAAAGTTTAATGATTCTAAGCCAATTAGTACCCGAAATATTTGATTAAAGCCATAAATTTTCAAAAGTAGGTCACCGTGACCTACTTTTCAGTTGTTGTACTCCGAGGACCCATGACACCTAAACTGACAAAGTTTTATGATTCTAAGCCAATTAGTACCCGAAATATTTAATTAAAGCCATAAATTTTCAAAAGTAGGTCACTGTGACCTACTTTTTAGCCGATCTACTCTGAAGACCCAAGATGCATCAACTGACAAAGTTTGATGATTCTAAGCCAATTAGTACCCGAAATATTTAATTATGGCCATAAATTTTCAAAAGTAGGTCACTGTGACCTACTTTTTAGTCGACCTACTCCAAAGACCCAAGATGCATCAACTGACAAAGTTTGATGATTCTAAGCCAATTAGTACCCGAAATATTTAATTAATGCAATAAATTTTCAAAAGTAGGTCACTGTGACCTACTTTTTAGTCGACCTACTCCGAAGACCCAAGATGCATCAACTGACAAAGTTTGATGATTCTAAGCCAATTAGTACCTGAAATATTTAATTATAGTCATATAAATTGAAAAGTAGGTGACCTACTTTTCAGTTGACCTTTTTTGAGGACCCAAGATGCATCAACTTACAAAGTTTTATGATCATAGGACTTAAAATGTCCAAATTATGCCTCTAAAACGCTTTGAAATCGAATGCCTGCAAAGTTCAAAAAGTAGGTCACTGTGACCTACTTTTTAATAAATATGTTTTATGGCCCCAAGATGCATCATCTTACTAGATTTAATGATTCTAAGCCTCCCCGTATTCGAATTAATGACCTTAATTGTTTTAAAAAAGATTAGCCATAAAATTCAAAAAGTAGGTCAAGGTGACCTACTTTTTAGTTGACGTACTTTGAGGACCCAAGATGCATCAACTGACAAAGTTTGATGATCATAGGCCTTAAATTGTTCAAAATATGCCTCTAAATCATTTTGAAAAAGAATGGCCGCAAAATTTAAAAAGTAGGTCACTGTAACCTACTTTTGAGTCAACATGATATGAGGTCCTTAGATGCATCAACTGACAAGATTTGATGATCCTTGTCCTTATAGTAAGCAAAATATCAACATTTTAATAAAATGTAATTTTTGGTCAACTTTGAAGTGACCTTGAGACCACGCCCTTTGCCCCAGGGTAAATCCCCGTGCAAATTTTAATTTACAACATATCCTCATCCTTTTGTGTAAGTTTGGTGATAATCTGCCCAGTGGTTCTTGAGAAGAAGATTTTTTAGCAACCAGTACTTTTGTTTCTATTTTCCTAATTATCTCCCCTTGTTAAAGGGTCACAACCCCAGTTTTAGTATAAAAGGGAACCCTTGGGCCAAGGATACCCTGTGACAAATTTGACAATAATTGGCCAAGGGGTTCTTGAGTTATGGCCCATATTCTAAAAAGTTTACGCACACCGCACACCGCACAAATGGCCATAGCATTAGCTCTTTGAGCCTTTGGCTCAGAAGAACTAAAAATCAGGGTTTGATTTAAATGTTTTTTTAATTAAAAGAAGAAAGATTTCTTCAAGAAATTATTTTTTTTAAATTCCTATTCCAAATATCAAACCTCTACTCTAGATCCCTGTCTAGGATACACAATGGGATGAAAATCATAATTCATAAACTAGTACTGTATCAAACATGGAAATCTACATTTGTGGGGCAATTCATGCTAAATACACAAGAATTTTCTCTGTACCAGTCTTAATTTGTACATATTTTTAGGTTGGGGGCATGTCCTGAACAACCTTCAATGCACAAAACAAGAGAATGCTATTTATTTGACAATAGTTTTGCGGTGCTTTGTGACTTAAAATTGTTTCTCAAATATTTCTTGCAGGAGCCATAATTCAACTCTACAAAATGAAGCTAGCTTTGATAAATGTTATCGTACTGTATACAGGGAATTTTTGTCCCCATCTTATTTTCACACCCTTGTCATAAGTACTGGTATACAAATTTGAAAAAAAATTGAAATGAAGGGGGGAAGGTCAAAGAAGACAGCATTTACTTTTAAACACAGCTGTGACTGTGTAAATTTAAAATGAGGCAAAATTGTTGTTTGCAAGTGTTAAAGGGCAAAAATAAGACAGGACGAAAATTACCAGTGTCTATTTAATGCTTTTCTTGAACTGGTTGAAACTTGCCATTTCATTGAAACAAAATAACTTGAATTTTCTCATAAAAGAGTGTTTGAACCCAGTTTAGTTAAAATAGGTGAAACGGTTCTAGAAATGAAGCTGAAAATGTGGAAGCTTAAAGTTCATTCATAGACACATGGACAGACAGACTAATGGACAAACTTTGTTGGGAATTTAAAAGATCATTTGAATCTGTAATGGCTCAAGTATTTAGTTAATAAAAGGGTGATCCAATCCCCTTTTGATGTTACTAGATCAAAAGATATTTCATCAGCATGAAATTTTGAAAATGAGAACTATTCAAAAAATGTAATTATACTGAATGTACATTCCAAAGTTATGAAAATAACTTGCACATTTAAGTGTAACACTACCGGTAATAGGAAAGGAGAAAATGTGTGGATGAACCAGAAATCGAACCTGGGACCCCTGCATCACTAGTCAGGTGCTCTACCAACTGAGCTAACCAGGACAGTATCCACAGCCCAAACCATTACTTCCTCCCTCTTTGAATAGCCTTCACCCTCAAAGACACAACCCAAGTTTTTATTTGGCAGTACTTTTACCTGCTAGTCAAGGGAAGGTCAACAGCACCAAATTATGTAACTGGGAAGGAGAAAAATATATGGCTGGACCAGGAATGAAACCTAGGACCCCTGCATCACTAGTCAGGTACACTACCAACTCAGCTACGCAGGCTGATATCCACAGCCTATATCATTACACAAGTAAATGCAAAATGTGACATCACAATGCTAACTCAATTAAAACACAGGCAATCAAAGAAAAAAAAATAAAAGCTCAACTTGCAAGTCAGACCTAGCATCCAAAGCAAGTGTAATAGTGTGCATCCATTGATGCATAATGCATTGTCCATGCAAGTTTGGTCACCATAAGGATTATAATTACTCGGAATGAACCTTCCCTAAAATGTTTAACCTGGTCACTCATCTAAAAAAATGAAGGTCAGATCCAGCATCAAAAGCAAGTCTGGTTGATAGCATTCCTAAATGCATCATTCATGCAAGTATAGTCACCAAAACATGAACTTGGTCATTCTTCTGGAAAATACTGAGTGAAAATGCAGCATCTGAAACCTGACAAGGTACTACAAAACATTGAATTCTGGATACATCATGATCAATATAGGGCACATCATTTACTTGTTTAAAAAAATTTGCTCCAAAAACCTTAACCTTAGCCTTAGCCAAGGGTATGGCATATTTAAGACTTTCAGACTTTGTCATGGTGAGCTAAAAATGAATTTCGAGTACCAGGCGGTAAAACAGTGTATCATCAAGTGAATGTAAATTATGTAAGCATTTAATGATCAAGTATATCTTTAGCACTGCACTCAAAAAATGGACATTGTCATCATATAATTCACACAGACTGTGCATTCAAATTCAGTATTTTTAACATGCACATGCATGCTATTCAATTTGTTTGAATGTCTTATGTTATTTATGACAAAGAAATTATAATGCAAAATAAGTTATTTAAAGCTTAACTTTAGTATAAAGTCAATTTTTTTCAATTCTTAAAATTGACACTGGGTTAATTTTGTAAATGAATAAGAATGAAATAATGATAATAACTTATTGCATAGAATTTGTGAATAAGCATATTAATGGATTTGCAGTGAAAGGATAAGATTGACTTTATAATTTGCATTTCATTTTGGTAATGGGTAATTTCTGAATTTTCTAATTTATATATGTATGTATTGAAAGTGCAATGAAAGAAGATAATTACCTTACACCTTATTTATGACCTAATGAAGTAAATATGCAAACTTGTCTGTTATTTGATTAAAGAGTTCAAAAATCTTTGTATTACAGATTTAAATCACATTTCAGGAGGTGAGGAATTTCATCTTGCTGTTCCAGTCATATTATGTTTCTACAGATATATGCTTGTAAAAGTAATGATAATAACTGTAAATGTATACTTACCTAAATAGATCAACATGTCCAGATCTCTTTCTGAACAACTCTCTGACATACAAAGCCCAAATGAAAATGGAAACTGAAAACAGATGATACATATCACGATGCATTACTACAGTTGAGCTTTATTATTTATTTAAATAATCAATTTAAATAAAATTTACACTTAAGATTTAAATTTGATTTCAGGCATGTATAATATATATAAAAATATTTCTCAACATCTTTGTTTTCGCTAAAAGTGTACAAAATTATGGCACTCAATCACTCTCCGCAGACAATACTACAAACCTACTTTGTTATTCAGGTTGTAAAAATGAAAGAAAAAATAAGAGACATGCAGTATTCCTTGCAGGAATCATTCTAATAAACTTAAAATTTATCTCTCAATACATGTATATACTTATAATAATATTAGTATTAATAAATTGATATCTGACATGAACAGTAATTTTACATGGTAAATTCAAAGACAAATGTAAATCGGCTATTGGATAGAATGACAACATAAAACACACAAATCTGCTACTTACTACAGTAACTGCAATAGACTTTTGAGATTTTATTCATGGGTATACTGTTTATCAAACTGTAAAATTCTTTAGAATTTTTTCAAAATGTACATAAATATATATATGATCAAACAAAAATTAGCTACAATCAAACCTTATTATATGGAACCCAAAGGACCCAGAAAATTTTTTACAGATATCTGATGATTCAAGATATTGAGGTTAAAATACATAAAGAAAAAGCAATTTGGACTTTTATCTTACTGTGAAATATATCAATCGTATTAGAGATTTGAAGTCGGAGATAATGAAGTTCAACTGTATATCCCTACCCAAGGCTTTCAGAAAGATTAGAAACAGGCAGTACTTTAACAAAAATAGGTGGTACCTTGTGGAAGCAATTTTAATTAAAAATGTTATTGATTTTGCTCTCCATCAAAACTTTTGGCTGGTACAATCATGATTTCAGCCTGGTGAAAGTACTGTGTACTGACAGATTTTGAAAGACCTGTCTACCCTATACGTCAAGATATATCGTGTATTTAATTTCTGATTCTTCATTTTGTTTCTAACAATGAGCATTTTCTGGACTATTTACTTCATAATGCACATAGTTTTCATCATGATATACTTATAATTCTTTAATAGGCTTACTTGTGCACCACCCATTGTTGTTGGGACATTGAGGGAACAATACTGGCTGATGAATGTCACATTTTGTGGAATCTGCTCTCCAACATTTTTACATTCATCATAAAATCCTGGACTGTGAAAGTTTGCCATAAGTATTCCAGGTTGAATCTTGCCAAAGGAATCTAGAACTAAAAAGAATTAAATTCAGTGTTAATTGGCATTAATAAAAGTTTCCATCAGCAAATCAACTTATCAAACTGATCAAGACACATTCCTAAAACAATAAAACTGTCTTAAGGTAATTCGTCTTCAGGTAAAGCTTGAAAAAAATTTTTCAGTATTTTCATGACTGAAAACAAAGTTACTATATGACCATGTGGAGACCTGAAATTATACATGAACTATTCAAAGTTAAATTTGCAATTTGCACACAATTATGTTTGATATCATGAAAATACATATATACTGTGTTGAATATGTTATCACTAGCTGCATGGACTATCATGGATTCCCTATCCTCCTCTGTACTGGTGATTTACTGAGTACAGTGATTCACTTTGAAAATGGTTATTATGAGTCCAAAGGACCCCTCTTAATGACAACAATGAGTCCCATGCCAAAACCAATGGGTCCAAAATCAAGGGTACTCAATGGTACCGTATATTAGATATTACAAAGGAAATTCTGGTGAAATAGAAAAGGGTTTCTCTGAAAGAGCAGTTGTTTTATTGAAGCTGTGAGTGGTTCATACTATAATTACTACAATTTGAAATAAGAATAAATGATTTTGTGGAATGTAAATAATATATTGTCAACTGTGCACCTTGGTTCTATTTTAGATTGTAGATATGATTTCACAAACAATTTGTATCTGTCATAAAATGCACAGAAGCAGACCAGTTGTTCTATTGAATGAAGTAAAGAAAGTTTTCTTTGAAAAAAAAAAAAAGAAAAATAGCCAGAAAGAAGAAAGATCAAATACTTATTAGCGTCTAAGGAAAAAATAATTAAAGATGATTCAGGTTACAGCTAAAATACAAATGTATAGTATACACTTCAGAAATGTTCAACAGCAGACAAAATTGAACTTTCTTTTTCTGATAATTGTTTCATTGTTAATTGCAATTTAACAGTGAAGTGTGAAATCGGACCTGTTGTTGGCAACCTTATACATATACCTGTTCAAATCACTCATGCATATCTCTTAGGCCAAACAAAAAAATATGTGTGGTTCCGGTTACACCTCCAAAAAAATTAGGGTAGGTAGGTAGGGAATTTTTTTTTTTTTTTTTTTTTTTAAATGATTTTCTAAATTTTTCTAATTAATACCTATCACTGCTTTGCAAGTGGCGTTTAGATGTGGTGTGATAATATACAAGTCAACATTGGTAGGGACACCCTAGTTATGAATATGAAACAAATATTTTTAAATCAAAAATAAGAAACACACTAATAATCTTATTAATTTCTTTTTGTAAAAAAAAAAGTTCGAGGTGAACATCCTTTTTTAAATCCATGTTTATAAATGAAATTATCCAGAGTTATTCTTATTTTATTTAATAATAAATTTTGAATGATAAACTAGAAAACAGACATAGAGTACTGCTAAGAGCTCTCAGAGGAAATATATTTAATATTGTTAAAATTTTAGATTTTTACAATGAAAACTTTTTGCCTCATTGAAGACTTTATACTTCCAAGCTCATTTCTCATATATATTGGTACTATGTGAGTTGACTTTATTCAGGTAAATTCAGCTGTCTTGTTTTTCACTTTTCCTCATCAACTTTTTTTTTTCTACTTTCGGTTTAAAAGAAATGATCCTGATTTAAATTATTTCATAATTTACAAGTTAATCTATCTTAAACATTGGGCTATTTCTTGCGTAATCAAAAAAATATGAAAATTGGCGGGAAAAAAGTTTAGGGTCGGGGGTATAAAATAGGGACGGTCGGGTAACCGGAACCAACCATATTTTTTTATTTGGCCTTAGCACATGGATATGATGCAATATCGGCCAAGTTTTGAAGAAGATTATACCAAAATAATTTAAAATACGCATGTGAGTTAAGGCTAGGTATAGGCGTTTCTATGCAAATGAGGTAATAAAAACGCATAAAAGGTATATTTATCATTTCAGAGAAAGTGTGGATTTATTTTCTTATGCATACTTAGTACCCACGATATGTTATAGCCAGTACACATTATGACGTCATATTATGACGTCACTGATCTTACCTACTGGAGGTAATAAAACACATCAACAAAACAGCTTCGACGCAAGGGATTACCCTATTTATTTTTACATAAAAATTGTATAATGCTAAGAAGAATATTCTATAGATTAATAAAACTGCTGCACAAATCCTAGGCACTTTCTCATTTGATCGGAATGTGAGGAAACTTATAGTGGACTGTTCATTTTTACCCTTATTCAACTTAAAACATTACAAATATAAATTACACAACTAAGCTGCTGATATTTGTGCAGCAATACCGGCAAACTTTGGATTATTTTGCTTCTAAATATGCCCTGTTTCAGTTAAATAAAATAGAGCATGCCCTTGCGCCGAAGCATTTTTGTTGATATACATTATAATCTTGTGTAGTACAGAACAGTGACGTCATAATATGACGTCATAATGTGTACTGGCTATCTCATGTCGTGGGTACCAAGTATGTATTAGACAATAGATTTTAACTTTGTCTAAATAATAGATATAGTCCTTTGGCATTTTAATTACATTATTTGCATAAAAATGCCTATATCTAGCCTTAACTCACCTGCGTAATACCTTTCATTTTATAAATTTAATGCGTCCATTGGGATGCACATTTATTGAAATAATGCGTCCTAAACAAAATTCATGCGTAATTTATGCAGGACGCAGACCAAAATGAATCACTGTGAGTATTGCCTTCAAGCAGAACATGTTTTCCTGCTTTACATGGTACACCTTAGTATGTGGTGGTATATTTCACACCTTTGTGTAAAACATTGAGTTTGGATAGTCTCATTCATGCAATATGCAATGTGTTGTTAATATGGCATGTAAAAAAAAACACTGAGGGGGGTGGAGTGGGTGGGGGTCGAGGGGGGAATTAAGCTATATAGCCTTAATTATCAAGAGATTGTGCCAGACCTGATAATATATCTCATTGTTCACCCTTACCCTGAAGGCTCCATGTCTCTCTTTTCCTGATGGAGTTCAAGACTGTTGTTAAATCATCGATACAGCGTGTGATATTGTCTTCTGTTCCAATATTTTCCCCAATTTCATTCAATAATACATCGACAGAATCGAGAGTAAACAGATTCCCGATCTGGGTGAAAATCTGGGACACCTCACTGCTCTCACTTCGCCACTTCGGTACGTGGGATATTTTCGACCGCACGCCATTCAGAATTTCCAAGTATGATGTGTCTTTAGAAAATGCAACAGATAAACAAAAAGAAAATAGAAGCACTTTGATATACATTTCTGAACGAACGCTGATATTTACTGACATTGCAAAACGACGGGTAATAAATGCTCACAATCACCTGATTTTACTCGGAAACATAACATTGCTGACTAAACGAAAAAATTGAAAGAGCATATTCCGGAAAGCCAAAAAAAAAAAACCCCGTCAAATCAAAGTACGGAAAATACTGATAAGAACTTATTTTTTTTATGTCTCGAGAACTGTCTGAATCTTTATTCGTAGCCCTTTCCACAATCTACTAGGTCAAGTCTCTGTCTTGTGCTTAACTTCCGTGGAAAAGTGCATACACAACTACATGTATATAAAAGTTCAAACATTAAACTATCGACAGTATGCATTGGTAGATGGGGGTGTGAGATTCTGTCTAAATCTTTAACAATTTATTTTCATATTATTATTATATTCATTATTATTGCCTTATTACTATTTCCCCCCATCTAAATAAATAAAAGGATACTTTTAAATTACTTTTTAAATGCTTGTTTTATTTTACAAAAGAGGAAAAAGAGGAAACATGGAAGGAAATGTATTTGAATATGACCCTATAAACAAAAGAAATATATAAATTAATAAAGGAATGGATGAATGAATAAAGAAGGAATAGATAAATAATTTGACAGAGACAAATAAATAAAAAAAAATAATATACATAAATTAATAAGAAAGAAATTTAATAAGAAATAAATAAATAAAGTGTTAAGGATTTTTAAAGGCATAAAATTAAAATAATAAATAAATAAACTTGATTTTTCAAAAAAAAAAAATTGTTTAATCAACATTTATAAATATTTATTACATAATTACATAAACTATACGAGAAACCCATTTTCATATAATGATTGAGGATAATTACACATATATTCTAATAGTGATCTAATATCTAGATTTATCAAGATAAAGTTATAAATCTTTTTCTTGTTTTTGTTAAGAAAATTATCAGTGTAAGGTTTATAAACCATTTTGATAAATACAAAAGTTATACTGTTCTTTGTTTGATTAAAAGTTAACTGCCCTTTGTTTTTAAAAGTCCAGAAGGTGGTAAGATCACTATCCTCCAATTTCAGAGGATAAAACTATCCTCCAAAAAATGGAGGCCTCTCGGACTAGACCTAGTGCAATAAATGTTCTCAGAGCAAAGAAATCCAAGTTTCCAGTTTTATCACATAATGGGCCTATAACTCTAGAGTGTAGTCCCATTCTGGAGGTTTCAATCATTGCTCAGTAAGAGTTACAAGCTGCCAGGAAGCATATATTGAAGTTATTTGGATTCATTTGTAAAAATGTTTACATTAATTCTTGAATGAAATATATGGAGATAATGAACAGTATTCAAGTTCAAAAGTCCATTAAACATTAAAAAATAGGAGCAGAGCAAATACGGACCTCGAAAACATCAGAGGTGGGATCAGGTGCCATGGAGGAGTGAACATCCCCTGTCAACCGGTCACACCCACTGTGTACTCCTTGTCATGATCAGGAAATAACGGAAAAATCCGTCAACAATTCAGTTTGTAAATAATGGCCTAACAATTAGTATGAAAAACGTCAGTTAGCATTTGACTCAATGATAAATGTAACTAATAATTAAACTAAATAAATAAATAAACTTTTAGTTTTCATCTGCAAGTTGTGTACTGTATCCATGCTAAATAATTTGCTGCATTTACCATATATATGTCCAAGAGTAAGTGAAAAAGATTTTCAAAAATGTTATTTACTACTTTCAATAAATGACCCTTATATACCGTGGGGTCTGAATCATAGACCAGTTAGGGGCATGAAGTTTACCATTTTGGTAGAGACTGTGTTACTATAATAATCTTGTAAATCATAATCATGCAAATCAGTTTGTCAAATAGATGACACCATGAATAAAGAAGAGTATCACAGGTATGATGTATTTTATATACATATCTGATCTACTCCCCACCTGAAGCCTGAATGCTGGAACCAGGTGACATGAATTTTACAATTTTAGTCAAGGATGAAATAATCATTATTATCATATAATCATGCTGCCCACTAGATGTATGTCCTTTAAAGAGAAGATTTTCAAAGATGTGAAATTTTTACAATGACCAGCCTAATAAGCCTGCTGATGATCACTCTGGAGTCTGAACCCAGAGGCCATGAATTTCACAATTTTGGTAAAGCCAGCCAAATATTAGATTACCTGCTAAATGTCCACAAGTAGAGATTTTCAAAGACGGAATGTTTTTCAATACATGATTATTTAGCACCACCAAAGGACCTGAGTCATGGATCCTGGGACATAAATTTATACAATTTTGGTAAGGCCAAAAATAAAAATTAATAGTTTCTCAGGCACAGCCGCATCAGGTCAAACATTGCCGCCTTGATCAATTTTATTGACATATTGAAAAGGGAAATAACTCAATTTTCTAGTTTTCCAAGTTAAAAAAGAAAATCGAGTTATTCCCCTTTTCATAAATGCTAATAGATATAATTATAGATGTTTTTATTAGATAAACAATACATTTCTTATTCATACAGTATTTTATGAATTAACTTTGTTTGGAATAATATTATTTAAAGTTGAATATATATTTTAATTAATGTAAGAGAACAAAAAAGTAAGATTCAGTTAAAATCATCATTTTGTTGAATGACTGACATGAAAAAAAATGTATAACACCTGCTTCCAAAAAAAAAAAATAAAAAAAATCTGCCTGCCACATTGAATTTTGAAATTTTTGGCCTGAGAAACTATTAATCATTTTTTTATGGCCTAAAGACCCTTTCCTTATTATAATCATGCCAAAAGTTTAACTGCTTATGTCCAGGAGCATAAAGAACATTTTTGAAGATTGCATCATATATAATGGTTCTGGCCACACCTCTCAGGCCCAGGGAGGCAGAGACCCTTGTATTCATTTTTTCCCTGTTACCCTAGATGTTATATTCCAAAATTGGTCGAAATTGGTTCAACCCAGTAGGGAATCCAGTGGGCAAGGGGTAAGGACAGCCCCCACCCTGGATTTTCAGTTTTTAAATCTATATATTAAAGTAACCAAAAATAACCTTTAGCCCCCCCCCCCCTACATAATTAGGAAAAACAACATCCCTTTATAAGTTGGTAAGAAGAGTCATATATGATATGATGGCAAGCAGCTTGTTCTTGAGAAATGCCCCCCCCCTTCAAGTACCATGACTATATTTATTCCTACATGTAAATACTAAAAAATAAAAAGAAAGCAATGCAAAGTATTGATATTTATTTTTTAGTGTTTGACATATTGAATAATACCATCCTAAAAATGAAGCTAATATCAGAAAAACCTAACATTTTGTTCATATCAATATATATATAAACATGGGTAAAGTCTGCATATTAGAGTGTATGGTACCAATTAACAGTTAACAAAGTTAAATTGGCCTTACACTTATTGATGAAAGGTACACTTTATCAGTTGAGATACTGAATACTGTCATTATAATGACAAAAATGACCAAAAAATCAAATAGTGTGTAGGAATACTTGTATATAATAAAAAAAATCATTACAAGAATGATTATACCCAGATTTTATGCCTTAATTTTACATAATTGTACATTTACTTTGCAATAATTAAAGCTTTTAGTAGACTAGATGACTTTTGAATCTTAAATGATGATTAGTAAACAGACATGGCACTGATATTTTAAAATATTCATTGTTTATTGTTAAATGAGTGGGTATAAGGATTATATTAGCTATTCAAGCTCATAGAAATGCTACCCTGCTCTTTCAAAATCCAGTTTATTATGTTAATTAATTTTCAAAACAACAGTTACCAAAAACATTTAAAGGGTTTATATATAATGTTAAAAATTCATTCTGATCTCATTTAACATTTTTAGAAAACAAAAAACAAAAAAGAACTCTCAATGAAAAGTTAAAATACTTTGAAATTACAGTGTATTATATTATCTTAATAAACTAATGTACATACTGGTATATCTTCTTTTTCCACTGTAAAAAAATGTTTACATATTGGTCATGCAAAAGGCATAATAAAAATTGAAGAAAATAAAAAATGTAATATCCTGGTATAATGATAACAGTACATACATGTACAAATCATATGTATTAAGGTAGATTTATATAAGGAAGAAACATATAGTGTACAAAAATTCAAAGCAGTCATGTACAATATCAATCAGACACATTCCTCTTGATAAAAAAAACTCATGATCATAAACCAGCTTTATAAAAATAACTCTCAGATTCATTACTATTGATATAAAAATAACTTTTAAAACATCTTGTTATCTTCCAAAAAAAAAAATGCACATATGAGCAAGTGAAATTCAGATGCTCTAACTATAAAAAAAATTAAAATAATAGCTAAACAACTTCATTAAAAAAAAAAATAAAGTTCAGTCAGTGTATTTTGTAAGTAACCAATGCTAAATGGAATGCAAAGCTAAAATACATGAAACACATCAAATTTGTGTAGCTCCAATCTGTTCATCCAGTTTCTTTGTCATGAGATAAACTTCCTGTTTGTCATGAGATTATACTTCCTGTTTATTTGACATGTGACATGGTTCCTGAGGCTGCCGTCACCTGCAACAAAGAATTCCTTTAACAATAGTTTAAAAGTACAAAACTAATTTAGTAAACGTACTTGTATGTCCTTGTTGTAAGAAGTCGTGGAATAACTACCAATAGATTTACAAATACTGAACTGCT